ATATATATATATATATATATATATATATATATATATATATATATATATATATATATATATATATATATATATATATTATGGTTTTAGTGTAATATCCCTAGTTCTCATGTTTCCTTGAAGTATCAACTTTCTCAAAAAAATAAACAATAAAAATTTGAAACATGAACTTAACATGAACTTAATCTTAGTTAATGTTCATTTCAATATTTACTAACACATTATTAAAATCAAAAGTTAAGCAAATTTGAACTAACAATGACCAGTTGCACTTTTATTAACTAACATTAACAAAGATGATTAAATACAGTTACAAACGTATTGCCTATTGTTAGTTAATGCACTAACTAATGTTAACTAATGAAACCTTATTGTAAAGAGTCGCTATCAAATCTCTGATAAAAACACATATGAGACAGTTAGCGTGTTTTTCTTAAGAGAAACATCTGAGACTTCACTGCAGAAGAAAATGCATGAGATTTTTTTTTCCTACAAAAGGATTTAGAGGTCAGTGACGACCACACAGATTACCAAAAATGAAGCAACTGAATATTTGTATAGATCTGCAAATGTAAACGTGTATCATATTCAGGAGATGCTCGCTGACCTCCGATAACCTCCTGCGTACGGACGCCGGTGAAACCAGTGTGCTCTATTATGATGATGATGGCACTTCATGGTACATTCGATGGCTCAATTAACAACGAACCTCACCATACACTGATTATAGGTTCATCCAGCTGAGAGGACCGAACAGATGGTTCTGCTGCTTGCTGGACTGGACTGATGAGTTATAAAACACCTCAAAATACAAACGACACACACAGAGTTTCACGGGGAAATAAGTGTTGATGGATAATCACACTTTGGTTTGAAAACATTTACACGCACATACAGAACTGCTTTGAAAGTTTTGGCCAGTTTCTGGAGTCCGGAGCCAGGACTTCAGCGGTCCAGAGGGAAATTAATGTGAATAAACAGAAGAAGGCGAGAGTTAGTTCCAGTCAAGGCTCAACTAATAATAGAAAGAGAAGTATAGAATAAACAGTGCATCGATTAACACTGCCATTAGGCAATTAAGAAACAATAACTCACTACTATGATGCTACAGTGGTATGGGTGGTTGCCAAGGCATTGCTAGCGTGTTCTCAAATATTTCTCCTAGACAGAAATGAGGTTATTTTAAGACTGAATGAAGACTTTTGCTTGAGTCTCCTGCTTCTCAAACGTAACACTCTCACATTTGTCTCCTTTAAAGCTTTAGAAGAGATCTCAACATCACACGCTGTGCTCAGGTTTTTCTCCTAAACTAAAAACTCTGGTGGTCTAAAGGTACTTTCCTGCACCTGTTCCCTTCTCACCTGTCCAATCGTTTCCTGTCACTTCTCCTACTGTCCTAACGAATAAAGGTAAAAAAAAAACGATTTGCAATCAAGAAAGAGCAACCTATAAAACATTTTTATAATGGGATCTTGAAAGAGATTACAGCAAGACAATAAAGAGATCTCCCATGTTTCTCACAGTCCATTCTCATCCCGATTTGCAATCAAGAAAGAGCAACCTATAAAACATTTTTATAATGGGGTCTTGAAAGAGATTACAGCAAGACAATAAAGAGATCTCCCATGTTTCTCACAGTCCATTCTCATTTTGGACTCTATTCTCTCAGATATTTCTCATGTCTCAGTTGTGTAAGGAATTTTAGGAGAAACATCTTGATACTAAAATGAGAGATGCATGAGAATCACAACTAAGTCTCCTGAGGTTAGAAAGAGCAAACTCTGAGCAATAAAACATTCCTATAATGGAGTCTCGATAGAGATTGCAGCAAGACAATAAAGAGACATTCTATGTTTCTTCTACCTTGACACTTTTTTTCTCTCTCAAGTCTATTTTGTGCCTACTTCTATTTCTCCAAAGGAATTTTAGGAGAAACATCTGAAATGCTGTTGATACTAAAATGAGAGATATATGTGACCCTGGACCACAAAACCAGTCTTATGTGTCAATTTTTTTCAAAATTGAGAGTTGTACATCATCTGAAAGCTGAATAAATAAGCTTTCCATTGATGTATGGTTTGTTAGGATCGGACAATATTCGGCCGAGATACAACTATTTGAAAATCTGGAATCTGAGGGTGCATATTGAGGAAATCATCTTTAAAGTTGTTCAAATGAAGTTCTTAGCAATGCATATTACTAATCAAAAATTAAGTTTTGATATATTTACGGTAGGAAAGTTACAAAATATCTTCATGGAACATGATCTTTACTCAATATACTAATGATATTTGGATTAAAAGAAAAACGTATAATTGTGACCCATACAATGTATTGTTGGCTATTGCTACAAATATACCCCAGCGACTTAACACTGCTTTTGTGCTCCAGGGACACATATGAGAATCTCATCTAAGTCTCCTGAGCTTAGGAAGAGCAACCACCGAGCGATAAATCTTTCCTCTGGGCTTGGCCGTTTCTAGGTGGTTTCACGATGTTCTGATCTCTATGACTCTGGTTTCTCCTTTAGTGTCTGTCTGTTGGATTTTTCATCTGTTTTCTGGTGCCACAAGTGTAAATGATGCAATGATGCAAGTAATGCATTACAATATTGTTACTTTTGTGTTACTTTTTGTCACCTGGGCTGGGCTTGCTTATTCGTTTTTAATAACAAAAAACCCCAAAGTTATATTTTTGGCAGCTGTAAAGGCCCTTTCACACCAAAAGTGAAATGAAGGAGCCTCAGGCTGAAGGAAGTGCCTCTGCGAGCTGTCAGTGAATAAATGGGAAAACAAATTGGAAATGGGAAAAAGTAACAGATATACAAGTAATGCGTTACTTTACTAGTTACTTGGGGGGAAAAAGTAATCTGATTACATAATTTGCGTAACTTGTAATATGTTTCCCCAACACTGACAAAAACACACAACAAAATAGTAAAGAAAAATGAAAACAAAAACTAATTCAAACTTAAAGCTATAATAGTATCTCGGTATAAAATAACACTGGTGAGAACTTGTTTATGTCTCCATGAAAAAGCTGAGCAATGCTGTTTTCCTCTGGGTCTCGTTGACTTGATGAACAAGATCTCGTTTAGGTGTGTGACTACAAATCAGATCTGTACATATCAGTCCATTTTATTCCTAAAAACAGACGCAGTGCAAGATCGTGGATAGAAAATAATAGTCCTATTATAAAAATAAAAATGCTCATATTTACAGTAGTGCACTAGTATAGCATGTTCATGTTCGTTTTATGTAGGAAGGATTATTGAGCGCTTGCGGTCACTGTGTGATGAGCAGCCATTCACTCAGCGTTTGACATTTGCCCTCGTTGCCCCTCGCCATCATTTCTTCTCTAGCATGCGATCAAGATGCTTTACGTCAGTCGGTTTGGAGCCGTTCGACCGTCAGCGATCCAGCCGCTCATTGAGCTGTCAGTGTGTGTTTGTAAACCTGGACAGACGAACCCAAAACTGGACTTGGCGCGTCTGCTGAGACCGCTGGCGAGGTTTGGTATGTTTAGGTACGTCAGACTAATCTGTATTATTTTCTAAATGTCGTGAAGCTGACGGCAAACTTCTGTCTGGTACAGTGACTGTGATGAATGTCGGGCCGCTGATTAGTTTGGGCTTGACATTGTGTGGTTTCTCCACATACGTACTCTATTTGATACTGTATGAAAGCCCAGGGCATGCTGGGTAATGTCCTCTGGACTTGTTTCACAAACTGTGTCTGTATTTGTGCTCTGGCTGGGTTTGAGTTATAGTCTCGTGTCTCAGACCTTTGACTGTTGCCGTAAGCTCTGGTTTTCTGGTCAAATTCGCCCACTTACACAGGAAGACAAGCAGAGTTTACTTTGTGCATTGAGGTCATTTTGAAATAGGATGTTTCTTATTCGGATGTGATGCATCTCTTCTTGTTTGCATGTATTTTACAGATTTATTTCTGTTTAATACCACAGCATTAATTGCATCAGGTGAATAGCACCGACTATTTAAGTCACAGTCATAATATGCCTCATTTGCATTTGAAGAAAGTGTTTGCTTTGAAAAGAATGACACTAATTAAGTGGTATTTTATTATTATTCATATAATATTAATGTTTTGAATGAGCTTTTCTTATATTTGCTATTTTCACTTTTAGTAAAAAAAATTGTGATTTGGTTGTTTGTCATTTATTTTTGTCATTCAGTTTTTATTTTAATTTTTGTTTACATTTTTTTATTTATTTTTCAATTTATTTTAGTTTCAGTTTTAGTAATTTTGGTACCTCAGCTTAAACTTAATTTATATTTTTTCAGCTAATATTTATATTTAATTTCAGCTTTATTTTAATCAACAAAAAAACTATTTTTAATGCACAAATCTCATCTTAAATGGATAGTTCACTCCAGTGTTATTATAGTTAACTAAAACTGAAACTAAAATTAAAACCTTAAAAAAATGTTACTTAAAACAAACATTAATGGAAATAAAGTAAAAAAAAATAAAAAAAATATATATATATATAGGCATCATTATATACATCATTTTTTATTTTAATTGATCTTAACTTGAAATAAAAATTAACTGAAATAAAAAATATAAAAAATGATATATATATATATATATATATAAAAAAGACAAAACACACAGCAAAATTACTAAAACTTAAACAAAAATTCACATGAAAATATTAATAAATACAAAAGCTAATTTAAAATATTAATACAACTATAATAGTATCACAATGATTCTAAAATAACACTGGTTCACCTGAATTTTTTAAATAATTATTTATTCATCAATGTTGGGTTGCAAACAACATTGGGCTCCATTGACTTTCATTGTTTAGACCAAAAACAAACAAAAAAAATACAAGAACAGAAGTCTTTTTGAATTTTATGGACATTTTTCAAAATGTCTTCTTTTGTGTTTCATGTTTGGAAGCAAACATGGGTGATTAAATTATGATAGAATGATTATTTTTTGGTGAACGATCCCTTTAAGTTGGATTGCAGCTGGTTTTTGGTGTTTAGCGAGATATTCCTTGTCAGTGTTCATGGCGAACATTTACCTGTTTCCCTGCAGACTGATACAAACCTGTGAGAGGAAGATCTGCGGGAAGAGGCAACGTTTCAGCCGTCTGTACTGACATCATTCTAATTAGAGGCATTAATCACGTATCCGATTCATTCCATTGGCCTGCTAATCCGAGTCATCTCCTAGATACTTATTTCTGTTTTTGTACTTCATTAGCACTGTGAAGACAAACCCAACCGTAACTAATGTACACAAACGCACACGTTCCCGCAGCTGCAGAGACGCTCCTGACCCCTGCGTGACCCTCATCAGCGGCGGTAAATCTCCCATCTGGAGGAAACAGTTCACCCTGCCCCGACACGTCAACACGTACAACACGCCTGTCCCTCGCTGCTACTCGCCTGACGAGTGTTTACATACAGAATCATTTCTCAGAGATTGCTTTTTAATTGCTTTGGTTTTAAAGGAATAGTTCAGCCAAAAATGAAAATTTGCTAAAAATGTGCTCACCCTCAGAGCATCCCAGATTAGGATGAGTTTGTTTCTTCATCAGGTTTGGAGAAATGTAGCACTGCATCAGTGTCTCAGCAATGGATGCTCTGCAGTGAATGGGTGCCGTCAGAATGAGAGTCCAAACAGCTGATAAAAACATCACAATAATCCACAGCACTCCAGTCCATCAGTTCACATCTGGAGAAGACAAAAGCTGAAACTAATCCAGCATTAAGACGTTTTTAACTAAAATACGAGTCCATAATCTATAATAACTCTTCCTCCAGTGAAAAAGTGTTCTGGTGTGAATCAGGAGAGAGATCTGCACAGATCAAGCAGCGTTTAAACAGCTCTAAACACATATGTGGCTGGATTCTGATGTGAGAGACAACAGCAGATGGACTTTTTCACTTGCTGATGCATTATTATCGTTTATGGACTCATATTTTAGTTAAAAACGTCTTCATGCTTGATTAGTTTCAGCTTTTGTCTTCTCCAGATGTTAACTGATGGAC